AATCGATTGATTACAATACGAGAAAAACAAGCAGAAATTTGGAAAGAACAATTAATGTTAGAAATACGAATTTATTGTAAATTTTTACCACTAAATTTTGATCATTTGGAAAATTTTATCTCACCTACTGATTATTTACCATTGAATAATAATCAAAAAGCTATTGAAATAAAAAATAAACATTATAAAATTATACAAGAAGCAAAACGTCAATGGTTAAATTATTTCTTAAATATTTATGAAATAAAAATACAAGAATATGAACAACAATATCAAAATGAATTCATTCAATTGGAATCACTCTTCTCAAATAATAATGATAAAACTATGTTAAATAATATTAAGGAACACATCAATAATCGAATAAATAGATTAAAAAAAGATATTTATGATAAAATGGCATCTTTTCGAAAAATAATACTTCAAAATCGTCAACGTTCATCATCAACAAAAAATGTTATTGGTGTTTCACCTGAACCATATCTCGATCTTATTTCTAATCCATTTAATAAACGCCAATGGAATTATCTTTCATTTGTTAAGATATTTTTTTAAATTATTTAAGAAATTCTTTATTTATGTTTCTATTAACTTAGGTCCATCTTATATAAGAGTGAATCAAAGTGCCATTCGTCCAAAATGTCAACAAGAAACTGAAATAAAAAATCAACATAAAGATATTTATTCAAAAGTTGAAAATAATCTCACCGGATATCCTCATCTTATACCACGAAACAATACAATTTTTAAACAATATTCAGATCATTTACTTGATTATCTTAATCAAAGTTATTTTACTCCATTATCATATAAAGATCAACTAATAAGCCACGAACAAGCACAAATTCTTGGATCAATTCGACGAATAATTCAAAATAGGAATCTTATCGTTCGAATCACGGACAAAGGAAATAATTTTTATATTGGCTTGGCAAATGAATTTGAAAAAAAAGCTCAAAGCTTTTCCCCGACACAAATGCTTTCATAGAATCGTCTTGCAATCCATTCAATGAAATATTAGATAAAGTTATACAATTACTCAATACACTTCGTGGAAAAGATCTTATTCGTAAATGGCAATATGAACAAATGATGCCTGATCGAACAACATGTAAATTAGCTCATTTATATTTTAATCCTAAAACACATAAGGTAATTTTTCTTAAAGTTTTTACACTAATATTTAATTTTTTATTTAATTTCTAATGTTTGTAGGATGGTATACCAGTTCGACCAATTCAAAGTACTATTCATGCTTCAACTACAAAAATTTCAAAATTTTTAGACAAAATTTTACGACCTATATTTGATGCTAAAAGCAATGATACAACTATTATTGATGGTGCTTCTTTAATTACTGAACTTTCAAAATATAACAAAAAAGGCCTGTTAAAGTCAACAACTCTTTTTTGTACATTTGATATTCGCAATTTATATACAATATTACCACAAGAAGAAACATTAGATACCCTCATGGCATTTCTTCATGCTCATGGTTATAGAAAAGTGAAAGGAATTAGTATTGATACAATAAAAAGATTAGCTTCAATTATTCTCCAAGATAATGTTTTTGCTTATGGTAAAAAAATTTATAAACAAACAACTGGTGGTGCTATGGGTTCATCGTTGACATTAACTTTGGCTAATATTTTTATGTCAAATTGGCAAAAAAATATTGTTGAAGAACAAACCAAGACAGGTGAATTTTATGGACGGTAAGTGACCAAAAATTTAAAATAATGACGATCATCTAATTTTTTTCTTTGTAGATATATTGATGATATTTTTATGACTTGGAATAGATCTGAAGAAGAATTAAGAAAATTATTAGATGATGTGAATGCATGGCATCCAAATATTAAATTAGATTATAAAATTAGCAATAGTCTTCCATTTCTTGATGTACAGCTTACAAATAATAATGGCATACTATCTACATGTGTCTATCATAAGCCTTCAGCTGAACCATATGTTACACCATTTATATCTGATCATCCTCGACATGTTTTTTCGAATATAATCAAAAATTTTATTGAACGTGCAACAAGATATTCATCAAAATTTGAAGCATTTAATTGTGAACGACGTTACATTAAATTGATGTTATTATATAATGGGTAAGTCATTATTTCACATTTTATTAAAAAAATTACTCTATTTCAATCGCTCATTATTTAGTTATCCATCAACATTTATTGAAAACGAATTTCACAAATACTTTTCGGAATATATATCAAAATCACCATTTCTACCATTAATTGATGACGAACAGAAATATTTTCTTATGCGAAAACAAATATTAGGTCAACCAACACCTCGACAAACACAAGTGGCACTGAGTGCAGCATTGGCTGACATTGATAACGATCCACTAGATGATGATGAGAGACAACAACCGAACCCAGACCCAAAAAAATCTGAAGAAAAAAACGTAAACATCAACGAAAAATTCTTTACCCATTATACATATGAAAAGCGTTTCAAAACATGCAAACGAGATATGCATCAAGTAGACCACGATACATTCAAAGATACACCAGCAATGTACACAAAATTAATCGTAGGCAACCGCATCCGTCGTCAAGCACACAATGAGCTCATACGCAAACGACCAAACCAAGCATTGTTACAAAATAAAAAAATACCCAAAAGTGAGTCAAACAACTGCACCAAAAATGATTTATCTCATAGCTTTACATAAAAAAAATTAAAACACTTCTTTTGTTACCATTAACGAGGAAAATTCGAAAAGCCAAAAACCACTCGACAACAAACTGCAACTATCATCAACCCTCCATAGACCGAATACCAATGACCAGGAAGTTTCTCTCCTCAGGATGATTAATCCAAAAACAAGCAAAACAAAATAATGAAAACTTCGAAAAACCATTCCTATCAATAATTATTTGATGTATCCTTCAACAAAAATAAAAAATAAAAACATATCACCCTGATTCAGAAATTAATCCAATGAAATTTGAAAAGACCTTATAACTTTCTTTTTCTTTCAGATAAACGCCTACAACTAATTTAAAAAAATGAACATTCAAACATGGGAAAACAGCTCTATATATCATCGTAGCTGTTCACACTACAGTTATTTGATTTTATCAACTTATATATATATATGAGTTTTGAATTTAATTCTCTATATATAAATCAGATATCATTTTATCTTGTGATTTCTTTAAAAATTATTTTAATTTTAATCATATCGATTATTTGTCAACTGATGATTCCCTTCAGCAAGGATGAAACTAGTCTTGACTGCTGTTCACACCCTCAAGATTTCGTCTCATACTCTTTCGAATGGTGAAAATCGTATCTCTTTAGCTCTTTCATGTCTTGAGTTATTGCAAAAATTGCTACGACCATTCTTTTAACAGACAATAGTGTGAAAAGAAAATATGTTGTTCATGCCGATGGCATTACCCTACCGAATGTAATTNCGGAATATATATCAAAATCACCATTTCTACCATTAATTGATGACGAACATAAATATTTTCTTATGCGAAAAGAAATTTTAGGTCTATCAACACCTCGACAATCACAAGTGGCAATGAGTGCAGCACTGGCTGACATCGACAACGATCCACCAGATGATGATGAGAGACAACAACCAGACCAAAACAAAAAAAACCTGAAGAAAAAATCTCAAATTATAATGAAAAATTCTTTACTCATTTTACCTATGAAAAACGTTTCGAAACATGCAAACGAGATATGCATCAAGTATACAATCATGCATTTAAAGATACACCAGCAATGTATACAAAACAAATCGTTGGCAACCGTATCCGGCGTCCTGCACACAATGAACTAATACACAAACGACCAACAAAACATTGTTACGAAACGCAACAACAACGAAGAGTAAGTCAAACAACTATAACAAAACAAGATTTATATCACTAATTTATAACAAAAAAATTAAAATCCTTCTCGCACTATTATTAATTAGAAAAACTCGAAAAAAAAACACAACACTGCAACAAACTACAACTATCACCGACCACTCATCGACCTTACAAAAATGATAAACAAAATACTCAACTCAGGACGATCAATCGATAAAAAATGAAAGCATATTCACAAACATTTAAAAAAAACCAATTCATATATAATTCATTCAAAACACTTTTAACCTAAATAAAAATACATGACACTGCTTAGAAAATTAATCCGACAATTATTCCAGTGAAGTTCTAAATTTCTTCTTTTTTCAGATCCATCTCTACACATCATTCCCAACAACAAAACAATAACAATCCCTGGAACATGCAAAAAGGACGAAACTAGTCTTGGCTGCTGCTCACACTTCTGTATATGGATACTATCATTATAGATTTAATTTCTTTTTTGATTTTTGTCAAAAATTTTTAAATGTATAACAGTATAGTTTAATCTTGTGATTTTATAATCATTTAGATTATTTGCCAACTGAAGAGTCCCTTAAGCAAGGACGAAACTAGTCTTGGCTGCTGTTCACACCCCACACCCACACCCACACACCCACACCCTCAAGAGCAACTCTCTCTTAGACTTAGTTCTAACATCCTTTCAGACTAAATCTATAATTTTAGAGACAATGCAAATATTATTAATTCTTGTTCAATGGTCAGGTACATTCTGGAACTTTCTATTGGTCANGACCTCTCATTTATATATACTATCGAAATGTAATATTCTAGAACATGACGTCATAAAACGTGACGAGAGAGTGACCAATAGAAAGTTCCAGAATGTACCTGACCATTGAACAAGAATTAATAATATTTGCATTGTCTCTAAAATTATAGATTTAGTCTGAAAGGATGTTAGAGCTAAGTCTAAGAGAGAGTTGCTCTATATATTATTAAAGACGAGACGTTATACTATATATCGCCTTAGTAAAATATTCAATATTTATTGCTTTATTAAATTTTAAAAACTGTGATCAGAACTTTTGGTATACCCTAAGTGCGTTCTACATAACTAAATGCTTTCAGTGGAGGGTTGGCGACGCTAATCTCGCGTTGCCTTGTAAATTGCCAAGTATAAAGTAAGGACAAAAAGATAAAAAGAATACATGGAATGAGAAGTAGTGAAAAAATCAAACACATGCATACAGCGTACTGAACCAGTAGCGTTACAAGCAGCTGTCATTTAGTTCATCTTGGATATCAGCTGAACTGAGTCTTCCAAATCCGGGCTGAATGTTGTGCATTGGAATTGAATTATGATTGTTTGATTCTGATTGGTTTGGATCTAGTACATTTTCGGCATATTCTTCAAAATATATGTCGATTCTTCCATCTTGTTCTGCTCTTTTCACTGATACTATTTTAAATGGAACATAGCGTAAGAGCAAAATTTCCTCCTCAGTATCAAAATGGGATAACTTGCTAATGTCGAGCGCTGAACAACGGGAAGTATTATGGAGAGCGTATGTGCAAAATACTGATATTTTTTTACTATTGTTGCTATCGACAGCACAAAAAATCTCCGCTACTTCTGAATCTCTAGTTGTAGATAAATATGTCGTTGTTAATATTATCTCACCGGGTTGAAGTTCTTTTATCAGCTTTTCATCATCAAGAACGGTACCACGATAAACTTTTTCATTTTTAACTCGATATTCTTTTAGCTTTGGGTGAAATATAATATAAGTGAATGCATCAACATAATCTTTTGTAAGATGTAATGCGGGACAATTTAAAATTGTACAGTACAATTTTATAGAATGATATGCATTGGTAGCTAAATGCGCATTCAGTCGTTTAGTAAATTCGTTGTGGCAAGTGTAGGCTTTAATAATATATTTAGGATCATTATATAAACGAGCGTTTTCCAGATATTTTTCAAACGTCTTGTTAAGTTCATCTTTTATTGGAAAATGTGAGCAAAACTCTTTAATTACGTCGACTTGATCGACAATAGATGAAAATTCTGTTATATTTTCAAACGGCTTGTGAAAGCTTTTGGTTATCTCCAAAATTTTCTCATTTTTATCAATCAGTAGTTGCCGTTCTGACCATGTGATCTTCCCTATTGATCGTAAAATATCGTGAAGATCCAAATCCTCTGCACCATATATCTTCCTTTTTAAGCTTTCTCCAAGTGTTTCTTCAAGTGTTTTTTCTGGTTCTTTAGTTGATGTACTTGGTGAGGTTGATTCTGAATTGTCTTTCTTGAGACCGGGAGGATAAGGAAAGGTTTTCCAACTGTTTCCAATTTGTACCAGTCGGTTCCAAAAGCCAGTTGTTTGATTTTCGTCTTGAGGCAAAATACTATCATTTAGTGAGTCACTTGTACCATGCATGATGTGTGTTAGTATGTTGAAGATTGCAGTCCCGCCAAATGATGATTGAGATATAAATTTGTAAAACAATAATAAGTTTGTGTATGTACCTAAAATTTCACAGGGATACAGTTCAAATATCCTCAGCGTCGTGTCTGTAATGTGTATTCAGTTCTCATCATACGGAAATATCAGAGAAAATACGCTTAAGTATGCAGAGTGTGATTATAAATCACTGTTTTTTCAAAATGTTGAGTTCGGACAATAAATTGGCATATTTTTAAAGCACCAGTTAGGTAAATATTTTTTGACTAAAGTCCCGTCGAGATCGCGCTATTGGATTGCGTCCTTACGCATCCCTAGCAACCCAAGCAGACAAAAAAAATTATGTGATGCCCACGACGAGCCCTCGAAAATGTATTATGTATATATTTTGTCCGTTCTGTTTCGATTTCGAGCCCATCGAAATCCATCGTATTTCGAGTACTCGAAAATTAACCTATCCAAAAGATGCAATCTACCTATCGGAGAGTTATAGATATGTCGGTAACTATTGAAGTTTGGAGTGCTTGAGAAAAATAAAGACAACGAAAAAACCATATCGAGTACTCCAACACGAACGAACTTAAGATAGTAACAGTCTATAATCTTAAAAATCAATTCCGATTTCATAAAACACATTCAAAAAGGCATATACGTATTTAGGGTGTGGGTGTGTAGGTGTGAGTAAGGGTTGTGGGTGATAGCAGAAAACACTCAGATTCACACCCACACGCTTTGAAAAAATTATTTATTCATTGCTTACTGATGTTCCATGAGTTATTTTCTTAGTATCTGAAGTTAGGAATAGAATCCGATTTCAACGTTAAAATTTGAGAAGCGAATTTTGATCTAATAACATATTTTGATGTAATTCTAAAAGATGCCCATGTCGCCTCTTTTTTACCAACTGCGCCGCAGTTACGCGCAGAGCGAATTTTACGTCACAGTTACGCGTAAATACGGCGCGTTGATCGTAGTGAAGACTTTTCTTAAATACTACGCCTAATGCGACTCAGGTCAGCGTAACTGCGTTCTAGTGGTCGCATCGTACGATCCGTTATAACTGTAACTGGTCAATTATAAATAATTCCTTCTTATTTGTAATTGGTCACTCTCGAACACTAAAAATTAGTCATAGAAAGTTACTATAAAAAGCACTGTTCATCGAAAGTTCGGCTCATAAACACATTCTACTATAAACAGTAGAATGCATATTCCGAAAAATATTTAAATATTTTTCCCACTTACTTATTATTAATATTTTTTTTAAATTTTAAAAATCTTTCTAGATTTTTTTTTTAATTTTTTTAATTGTTTAAAAAATTTCTAGACCTTTTTTAGACTTTCTATTTTTTTAATTTTTCTAGTCTAAGTTTTTTTCTTTTGTTTCTTTAATTGTAAATAAATTTTTAAATGTTAATTTTTTGATTTTTACAGATACCTATTTATTATTTTCCTTAATTATTTTATATGTTAAAATATTTTTTAACTTTTAATTTTTTATAAAAGTTTTAATTTTATAGATTCAAGTTTTTTGATTTTCTGTGCTTATAAATTTTTCTTTTAACTCATAATAAAAATAAGAATGAAAATAAAACCTAATCTGTATCATCTCATGTAGCAATTGCAGTGCATTTCTGCCGCAAAAATGATCACACTCTGACCCGTAATTGGAAAAAATGCGATTTAGCTACGCGTAACTATGATTTTTTCACCATAACTACGCGTAACTGCGATTTTTTCATCCTAGTTACGCGTAACTATGTCGTAATTTTTCGCAATTAAGGGTCACAGTGCGATCGCAGCTACACCGTAACTACGCCGCAGTTTCATCGTAATGAAACATATGGGGAATAAAAGATTCTAAAACGAACTGTAAATTGCATGTTTCTGACAGTTGAACAGACAATTTTCAATGTAGAAAAACAATTCATATTTAGTTCAGATGTTCAATGACCATGCAAATGTAAATATCCATGTTCAAATTTATTTCTCCGGCATTTTCCGATGACTCGCAAATAAGGCATCTATATATCTATGTTTAGGAAAAGAACTTTATTTTTATCCGTCGGATAAATTATTTCGAGGGTTCGAAAACTTCTCAGCTTCCTTACTTATCGCCGAGCCCTCGACTTATCCGAAAACGAGAATCCGATTAGTACGTTTTATATTTCGATGGGTGCGAAAGTCCAAAATTGACCCCTCGAAATGCCTATGGAGTGGCTACTTGGGAATGCTTCAAATTTCAAAAATATAGTACAATCTGTCTCAGATGTGATCTAATTATCAGCTATTGAATGAAAAGCAGAGTTTGTGTGGGCTGTCTCTTACACTAACTTTACAAATACGGATGAATAAATGTTGAAGAAATACAAGAATAAAACTATATTGTCTTGCGTCAAATGCGTGTATTTATGAAATAATATTTACCTTGAATTACCTAGTTATTTATTTCTCATTCTTCAAACCATTCCATGTAAAAAAAAAGTAGTTTCTATTTCTAAAAAACTTACCTTTCTCAACTTTGGCGCACCGGTATTATTATTGAATTTCGATATTCTTCGGTCAAGACTATGTAGTTGAAAACATTAACACAGATTTTTCAGTTAATATAAAATCAATCGTACAATTTTATTTCGAATAAAGTTTTGTTTCTACTTAAATCGAAACTATTGAGCGTGCATTTGAGCAGTATCAACCAAATTGCATCTAGGTGTAGTAGATGTTTGACTCGAGGCAACGTTTCGATAAGAGGACAGATACATAGAATGAAAAAAAAGGAAGTGTAGCATTTCATTTATCTATCAATCATATTTTATAACGACATTTGATTAATGTTATTCATAAATGTTTATAAGGGACGTAAACACAATAAATCAAGGGTCTTAATTGTAATTATATTTCATAGTAGAAAATGTTTGGTACCAATCCAACACCGTTCTGACAGTAGAAAAAAAGTGATTTACTCACAAAATCTAACCACAGATTCTAATAATGCAATAGTAAGTCTTACAAGTTTTACTAAGAGTCGAATCGCTTGTTTATCAGTATTGTTGGAGAGTATCAACAAGTCCTTGTTTTTACCATAACATGAATATAGAAAAATATTATTCAGGTAAATGTTAATTGACAAGTTTGTTTTGATTATATTATGTTGACTTTCATTTCTGATAACACATTGCTATACCAAAAAGAAAAAAAAACAACTATGTGTTTCATTCGACTGTGACAATTATCGATCATGAAGATCGGTTTCTTATCTTTGAATTATTTGGCAAACAAATTAAAATGCTTTTAGCGACAACAATTTTAAATGCCTTTCATTAGTCAATGCTTAATCGATAAGGTTGGATTTCGTTAAAGTCCACTTTTTTTCATTAAGTTGCAGGAGAAAGTTACTAATCGTATGTTTCGTTTTTTGTTTACATATACATTGAAAATGAAATTATTTTGCTTATTTTAGTATCTATTAAAGTATGCTGGATCTTTGTCATTTGAATAGTTCACAATGTTTCAATAATGGTACTTGCACAATGGACTATTTATTGAATACGACCCATTGCCTATGTGATCCATGCCACGAAGGCAACTTTTGTGAAACATTTACTAGTAGACAACATCAATACGCCACTCCTTACCATAATTTAATTATCTATATTACTGCGCTATGTATCTCGACACTTAATAATAGTATATGTCTTGAACTATTCATTAGATCTAAAGCAATACGTCGAACGAACTGCGGAATATACCTAATCATTTATTCAATTCTATCTATTTTAGCCAGTATTTTCCTCGTGGCTGACGGATATGTAACCTACGATAAAAGTATATTTGAAGGAGACCCATATTCGCGTAATACATTCCATTGTGTTGTTGGCGTGGTAAGTTACAATACAGCTAATTTTCTATGTATATGGTTTAGTGCAAGTGTTCAACTTGAACGTGGAATAGTTCTTTTTTCCAAGAAGACATCGACAATTACACGAAAACGATCAATCATTGTGTCTATAATTATGCTTGCTATGAGTATTGGTTGTGCCATACCAATTGTCTTCTACGATTGTGCCTGGAATGATGTGTCTCATTTAAAAGTATTACGTGTTTTCTTTAATGCTTTCCACATCGCTGTGCCCGTCCTCATTTATATTGTTGCTACTGTCTTATCTCTAATTGCTTTTGCACGTCGAATACGTGCATATGGCATGGAAAATCGATGTTATATAGTGACATTTGCTAAATTAGTATATAGTCATTTATTTATTTTCATACCGCCTTTGGCTTACGCTATTTGCTATACACTTTACAATTTAGTTGCCAGTCGTAGTGATCCTATAACAGGCTACTATCATTGCGGTATTTCATTAGCAGAATATATTATAAAAATTATACTTCGATCACTCACGGGTGTTCCTTTTGTTGTAACATGGTTGATATTCGTTTATCCATCAAGAGTTTATATGACTGAATTTTATCTGAATACATGGTGTGGACAGTGGTCAGCTTGGATAGTGGCTCATCTTCGACAATGTTTTCGCAGAAACAAAGCATTAGAGCATCTCAGTCAATAATTATATGACTATTGCTGCTTTCTATAGATATGTGTTGTCTATTTGCGTTTACTTATTAAAATAGAGCTAAAAAAAGTAAAAAATAAGATTTATGACGGAAATCAATCATAAAATAATTCAAAATTTGAATGAACGCTATTTTGAATAGGCTTTTAAGGATCTTGAGGGTGTGGGCGTGAATAGCTACCAAGACTAGTTTCATCCTTGCTTAAGGGATTCATCAGTTGGCAAATAATCTAAATGATTAAAAACAAGTAACGCTCGTCGCTGGGACTCGCTTGACCCTCGACTGAACTGAATAGTTATGACTGTTTGTATACAATTTCCCCTTGTCGATGGAATTGGTACGAATGTCAGTTAAAGCCAGATATCTATTATAGTTCTATTATTATGATCTATAAGAGTATAATAGTATAGTGAGTTTAGACTTATAGTGAATCTCAGAATTCAATTAGCACTGTTATCGATTAATTTGTAAAACAAGCCGCTGTCAAAAATAGCTTAGGTTCTTAAAATTCTTTGTTGTTGTTTGCTGTTCATTGTGGTATTTAAAAAACTGTATTCAGTTCTTCAGCTAAAAACTAACAGAAAGATTAATTCTTCAATGAAAAGTTATCGATAACGTAAAACGGTGGGTACTCAAATCTAAATTAGCTTGTAAAGTCGTTTCATGATACAAATATCACGCGTTCTTACAGTGACAATAATATGAGATATATGCTTTCAATTGATATTGAGTGCTCGTGTTTATATTCGACTGCCTACTATGCAGTTCAATTAGAAAATATATTCATATCATAATGAGGAATAAGGGTAACCTTAACATCAAGTACAAGATTGCTTTTCACCAACATCCTTTTAGTCAAATATATGCATATGTTTTAGTTGCATGGCCACATAGAATGATTCTATGAGTATCATGATTTTGAATTGTTGGAAATGATATTTAAATTGAAACTTTTATGAGCAATTACATGCGACAAATATATTTAATGTATGATAAAACTGAACAATGAAATAGATATAAAAACAAGCAAATATCTATATCTAGCACATACCACTCAACAATACGGTTAACCATGTAAGAACAACGCTAATATGTACAAGATATTGCAGAAAAAAACAAGCTTTAAATGTAAAAAACCATAGAGTTAATAGATAAAAAGAAAATTATATAGAAAGAAAAACGAACGTGGATAACAAAAGTTTTTGTGCAATACAAAAAAATCATTGAAACCAATCGGGAAAACGCGTTTGTGTATCTAAATACAGTTTATCGAGTCTTTCTATTTCGGCGATTTGTGATTTACTTGGTTTGATAAGCAAAACCTTGTAATCGAATTGGCGTAAAATAATAAGATCAGCCAAACGTTTTACACGTGATAAAGGTACATATACTGTGGCAATGTCGTCAGTTTCATTTGGCAGTTTT